CTTATTTCACCATAGTTCTCTTGTCTGTCTCAATCATGAGCTACACTTCCCATACTTGATTATCATTCTAAGCACTTCCTGAAAACACTTATAGCATTGTTGCGATCTAAGTCTTTGACTTGTACTCCACAATTAGAGTCTCGTGCAATGGCTTTACCCTCATAACACATAAATAGGCATGATTTTATAGCTTCTCTTTGATCACTTTATCATCAATAACTAAGTTCGGTGATCATTCTACTTACTTTGTGTTTCTTACACATGCTATACATAATCCCTGTGGTAATTATACAATTTTCCCTCATTACCGAACTAATTTTCTTTTTCATATCCCATGCTGGCTATTTGGGTTTCAAATCACTAACTGGACTTACGAAAAAAAATTCACATCACCCCCTTAGACCAAAGGTCTTATACTTGCGGATCCTTCCATTTTTTTTCGGGATTCTAACAACTTTCTTTATCTTCTGCAACTCTTTGCACTTTACGTTAATGACGACTCATCTCCCAACTTACCTCTGAGAAATCTTTCTTACTAGGAAAAACTAAATTATTTACATAAATGGAAAGCTTATGTCTTCATAACTATCCTACATAATCGTAATGATTTAACTTTGCCCATACTGTCAATCCTGGAGAAATCACATTTCGATAATTCCTAAAGGCTATTCTTCTATAGTTTGCTCTCTCACTGCTGGCTGATTTTTTTTCCACTGCCACTGTACTTCGGGTTTAACTTAAACTCTTTGGGCTCTGACACATGCGTTCGGTATTTTCAAACTGCCATCCACTCACTAGAGATAACCTGGCTAAGTGGATCAAATCTCACCTCTACTAGCTCAGCTGAAATTGCTAATTCACTGTATCTACTCAAAACTTACTTAATATCCTTTTACTAACCACCTGCTAACATTATATTTTCTTCTCCTGCTTTGAATAACTAAAATGAAGCATAAGGTTACTCCTAACTTCCCTCATCATCTGACCATATTCTTTTACCACACATTATCATTTTTTTGAACTATGTACATGGATCACACTTAGGAAAATCATCTGTCTTAAACAAAATTAGAATATCTAACCTCAAACTTTCTATATAATACAAAATCATATCATACTATAAACATCCGCGGTAATCACTTAGTCACATAACCTAAGGAGGAACTGCCATATCTTTTATCTTATGTCAATAGCTGCTTCTTATAGTAGCTTACTAGCGTGATACTTCTAGTTCTGATTCGAATAATTCTAAACAACTTAAAATCATTCCCTGAAATTCAATATTGGCTGCTCTTGGTTCTCATTTCATACATCATATCTTCTTGTCATTTGCATGAGTTGTACGAAATCACATCTTTGGTAATAACAAACGTTTTTGACTCCTAGGTATTTTTCCCTTAGTCTCCTCTTTTTTTTCCAAAACTATAATGACCAATTCTAGGCCATTTACGGTCAAATTCTTAACCTGCTACACTGTAGGGTCTGACATACAAATACACTACCACACACATCTGATAAATCACTTCATGCACCATCCGGTGAGTCTTGGGTCTTAATCCCTAAAACATGCGAAGATTTCGCTATAATCATTGTTACTTACATTTTTCCTGAGAACCCATATGCATCACTGTATACTCACAAGTCACCAGAAATTTTGATACATTGAAAATGGATATTTGGTAACCATATAACTGAATACTGGCGTACTGAATAACCATAAACTTGCTAACTGAAAGACTGTATAACTGGAAACTGAGGTAAACTGATAACCATAAAATATGATACCTGCTTTTGTACTTTCTGATAAGGTTATGCTCTAATATGCACTACTATCCATTGCATCCCGCTTTTAACATCCTCTCAAGTCTCATATTTACCAACATGTACTCCATAATTATACCTCAATAGGCAATTATCCTCTTTAGGACCTTAGGTTTCTCCTGCGCGTCGCTTGGGCATCCAATACGTTTGGAATTCGATAGGAAGAGAAGGTTAACTATTGCTCTAAGCTTCATGGCACGATCTAGAGTAGAAAGAAATGAGACAATCCTAGATGTCTTGGTAGTTAACCGTTTATATGAGTGACCGGCACACACATATAAAGGAAACTACACTGGACACGGCTTCATAGACTCCCTAGGACTCTTGAACCTAGTGCTCTGATACCAAGCTTTGTCACGCCCCGAACCTGGGCCTGGACGTAACACGACACTCGGTGCCTTAGTACATGTGACCGAGCAAACCAACTGGCATGGCTGAATCAACATGTGATATCATAACATACTAAATGCGGAAGATAAACTAACATATGTTGATATACTGAATGATGCCCCAAATGAATATCTAATGATATGAAAGGTTTACCCATGTTAATAAGATGTTGGAATATTGAAATTAACTTAGAATCACTATTAGAACTTACCTTGGGTGGTGGAAGGACCCTTAAGGAGTTAGGTTTTTGAGAGTTCCTCTTTCTAGAGCAAGTTTTTATGTTTTGGGGTTGTGGGGGGCGAAATATAGCTTTAAAATGACCCCCACTAGCGTGCCCGTGCATCTGGAGGCCTGCCCGCGGTACTGACCGCGCTAAACGGCAGTAACACTTCCTCAAAATTAGCGCGGCCGCGCTACCGACGCGCATATCACATACTGTTCTGTAAAATACGCATAACGTTTTGTACAGAGATCCGTTCGGTCTCCATAATATATTGTTGGAAAGCTATGTCAAAGGCCTACAACTTTCATGCTTTGAGTTTTGCCAAATTCCTTACTCATTTTCACTAAAACCTGCTGGAATACGAACCTTCTGCAAACTTAGTCGATTTTGTCAAATCTTATGCACCTCACTTTCCATCTTGATTTTGAAATAACTATTTTCGCCCATAATCATCTCGATAGGACTACATATGTCTAAAATATCAAATTAATACCCATGTAACATATCCACACCTAGTCTGAATGTACGGGGTGTTACAGTTACCCTTACTTGGAAGAAGAAAAGGAAAACAAAGCGAGATGGTTTAACCCCTTTGTCAACATTTAGATCACGTTTTGTCGCCTATCACTATAGTTTGCATAACTGTTTCAATTACATACAATTTGACGGAACTGGTCAATAGACTTATTTTATTTCCTTGTACGCTCTTTTCATTGCTTCATCATATCAATGGGCACAAGAGATTTTTGTTAGAAAAGATCAGACAGCGGTTCAATTTATTGTTTCTCAGTGTTCCAGATGAATGATTGTCGTACTTGGTTCTTCTTAAGTTGTTTTATTTACTTTGGTAAAAGGTTAGAGTTTAGTTTATTCAAAAATGTTCTGCTCTATGTCGAACTTCTACCAGTTTTTGATGCTGCATTAGTTCTTTTTCATTATATTTTGAACTTGTTTCATTATTTGGGGGCTGCCTTGTTCTTTTTACTTGTTCTTGGAGTTGCTATGCATGTTCCAAGTTACACAAAAATGAAGTAAGCCATCAGATTTTTCAATTAGTTTTTTCCTTGTGCTGTAAGCCAGTACTACCATGTGTTTTGTTAAATTTCTGGACCAATTTTTGGTGGTCCAAGATCAGAAACTTTAGCCCTGAGATTTTCGTCAAGCAAATGTTTGAATATTTGACATCAAAGGTGGATAATTGCCTTCTGGAAAAACAGTATGAAGTCCTCTTGCTGATCATATGCAAATTTCAAGCCTTTATGTCCAGTTCAAATTTGAAAGGTTGGAGCCATACAGATGATCCTTAAGAGTTCCGCTCTCCATGTGCTCGTAAGTAACTTTTTTGGGATAAGGTTTGTAAGTAATTATCATCTCATTCTTTTCATTGCAGTAACCGATCATATGCCTTCGCCATTTCCAACCTTGGTGGAACATGTATATACTACCTATATGTAGCATCTAGCATGTTGAAGAGGTAATAACCACTCTACTTTTGTGATACAAAAGACTCCTATAAGAAAAGAAGATTATCCAAATGAGTGTATGCTTTCATTTCACTGTTCTACATCTGATATATGGCAATTCATTTTTGTCTACCTGAGTAGGAAATGATATTAATGAAGTAAATGCAAGATATTGTTGATCATCAACGTCATCATTTGCTAGAACTCCTGTACTCTCAGAATTTATGAAAACTAATTGCATCTCAGTTTTAAAGAATGTCGCCAGATCTTCCACGGAACAAGCCATTCCCCTTGGAATCAGTTTTCAGTATCACTTTGCGATATGTTCTCTGTTTAAACCATTGCAGAGCTAAGCGAGTCATTCTGTTATTTGGGATGTTCAACTTGATTGTGAAGGGCGTATATCTATCTTTTTCTCGGGAGATGGTTTATCAAGATTTGACTATGATATTTTTGGTGATGTTGTGTCTATTGATACCACATATCAATAAACAAGTGTGACATGATTTATTGGAATAAATTATCATTGGCAAGATATACTTTTTTGTTGTACTTTTTGTTCTTGTCTGATGAGTCTGCAGAATTATTTAAATGGTTGTTCTCTACTCTTAAAAGTCAATTAAAGGTTTATTTCTCTCCCAAAAATTAATATAATTGGTCAAGTTCGAGGAATGACAATTGTCATTAGAGAGTGTTGTCTACCACTAGACATTGACTATGTCTATGGAGCATATCTTAGAATGCATGATCTCGTATGCGTTTACTGGAGAACGATAAAACACGATAGTGTAATCATCTATCAAGGTAAAAAAAAATAATGGAATAGATTTATGACGGTTTAGGGTCTTCATCTTTTTTTTTTCTTTTGTCAAAACGAGAATAAGAAAATGCACGAACCAGACGTGCAAATTTAAAACTGAGTTGATGAAGAGGAATAATTACACAAATCACTGACTGGCTAGTGGCTAAGTAGAGCAACATAAAGGGACTTCTTTTGCAACAAAAGCATAAAAAACGAGGACTTAATTGAAGTTTCAAAAGGTATTTGGGCCAATTTCCACTCTTTCAAAACTATAAAATGGCTAAAATTCAGTTACCGCCGTCTTTCCCAGTTATTGACGAAACAAACTACACCTTCTGCTCATCTATAAGCATAAACCCCGCCGGAAGCCAGACTACCTCACCGGAAAACGGACTTCCTCACCGGAAAACATGTCATCCGTGTCTTCCCTGCGGTAATTGAGGTAAATCCTATATTTACACTAGAAATAGTTTGGCTATTTCGAGTCGACTATAGGCATTAAACTTCGACTGAGACTTCCATAGCAAAAGTTACACCTTTACAAGATATTGACTTGTGCTCAAAATGTCGACTCAAAAGTTTTACCAAACTGTAAAACAACTTTTTCCCAAAAAACCAAATGAAGAAATTGCCAAAGTGATCTCCAATACCCTGATAAATTCGAGGTCTATTGGGGAAATTCCTCCTTCTCTAATTTCCCAGCTTAATCCCCAAGTAATCCATCTTGTTCTTTCAAACCCATCTGTCCCTACACAATCTTGCTTAAGCTTCTTTAAATTCCTCCAAAAAGACCTATCTTTCACTCACCAAAGACCCAATCTTGATTCACATATAGCCTTGGCTTTGCGCTTGCTCGAAGCCAGGAAGTTTGCTGAAGCAAAGAATATTTTGTATGATGTTGCTGCTGCTGATGGTCTGAGGAAACCCTTTTCAGAAATAGCTTCTTTACTCGGTGAGAATCATGTAGAGCACAAGGTTGTAGGGAAGATGTTAGATATGTTGTTTAGGGTTTATGTTGATAATGTTAGGTTTGAGGAAGCTGGGGAGGTTTTTGGGTATATGACGAATGGTGGGTATGAATTGGATGATAGATCTTGTATGGTATACTTACTTGCTATGAAAAGGCGAAAACAATATGACTCGTTGTTCGAGTTTTTCAAAAAGATGATTAAATATGATGTGAAAATTACTGTTTATACGATGACAATGGTTATTGACGGGTTGTGTAAAGTAGGAGAGGTTAACAAGGCAAGAAAGCTCATGGATGAAATGATTAGCAAAGGGGTGAAACCGAATGAGTACACTTACAACACATTATTAGATGCTTATGTGAAGAAGTCAGATTTTGTGGCTGTGAAAGAGATTTTGAGGATAATGAAAAAGGATGGTGTTGATCTTGATGTGACAAGTTATACTCTTCTGATTGACGGGTATTTTAATTTTGGCAATCTTGAAGATGTTGAGAGATTGTTTAGGAAAATAAAAGAGAAGGGAATAGAGCCAGATGTCCATTTATACACCTCCATGATTAGTGGTTGTTGTAAGTTAGGTGATGTCAAAAAGGCATTTACGGTGTTTGATGAAATGGTGGAGAGGGGCCTCGTTCCGAATGCTCACACATATGGAGCTTTGATAAATGGCTTGTGTAAGGCCGGACAGATGCAAGCGGCCGAAGTTTTACTTAATGAGATGCAAAGTAAGGGGATTGACGTAAATCGAGTTATATTTAATACAATGATGGATGGTTACTGTAAGCAAGGTAATATGGATGAAGTATGGAGGCTGCAGAGAATTATGGAGGGCAAAGGACATGAGGCTGATGTATACGTTTATAATATAATTGCTACTGGGCTGCGTAAGTTAGATCGGCATGAGGAAGCAAAGACGTGGTTGTTCTCGATGGTGGATCGAGGCGTAGCTCCAAATGAAATTGCTTATACAACTTTGATTGATATTTATTGCAAGGAAGGAAATTTTGTTGAAGCAAAAAGGGCACTTCGTGAGATGGAAAGTAAGGGAGTTAAGCCTAATACGGCAACATACAACGCCGTAATAGATGGTTATTGCAAAAAGGGTTTGATGAAGGAAGCGTATAAGCTAAGAATTCTAATGGAATCTAAGGGTCTGAAGCCTGATGTCTATACATACACCTCGCTTGTACACGGGGAGTGCATATCAGGGAAGGTAGATGATGCTCTGAAACTTTTCAATGAGATGCCTCTTGAGGGTTTAGCTCCGAATGTGGTGACTTACACAGCAATCATTTCTGGCTTATCAAAAAAGGGCAGATCAGATGAAGCCTTCAGATTATATGATGAGATGATAGAGGCAGGCCTTACGCCTGATGCTACTGCATACTCTGCTCTTGTGGGTAGCCTTCATAGTTGACATTTATCTAGTGTGAGAAGTTGTTCTTTAGGAACTTGTAAGTTGTAAGCTTCATGTAAATCACATTTTAGCTATTTGGAGGCAATAGCAGACTGTTCAATACATCCTCAAGACATTTTACATGAGCACATTCTGCAGAGATTCGGCAGCCTGGCTTTTTGCTTGTTACTGCAGGTCTGAGTGCTGTCCGTGGACATGGTCTTCCATAAATTCAAGGTTGATATTTATTTGCTATTCTAGATAGAGCAAAAGCGCTGCTTAGATTTAAGCTGCTTGAATTCATTTCATGGATTTAGCACAATGAACTTACCTGGGAGGATGACAGGCCTATGATATCTGTACGTATCCAGTGGATTTAAAGTGTCACAACCTTCTGTTTTTTTTAATCAACATGAAGGACCTAGAGTGGTTTAGGCAGCTACAGTCTTAAAATATAAATTTTGTTTTGTTACGCGGTCATGATGAGAAAACCGCTTGCTTGGTGTATTATTTTAAACTTTGGAGGCATTTGGTTCATAATATTTTTCTATTAGACGTTAATCCTTTAAGCAATATTGCTTCCTTTGTCGTCCAGTACACCATTTTCTTGAGAATGGAAGAACCAAAACAAAAGAAGTGCTTCACCTTGGAGATGCTGGTGGATGATAGCAAATTTGTAGTTTATGTACCTTTTTTTGGCTGAGTGCATAACATACTCCAGGTAGCGGTGGAATGAAGCACCAAGTAAGGCATATGATGAATTTGTAATTGGTTTGAGCTCTGACTCTTTGCCAGCAATAGCACAAAGTGCTACCTTAAATTAACATAATGAGAACCATACACTGACAGTTTCCTTTGGTCCAATATCTTTTGGCTTACTGTTTGTTTCAATATCTTTCGGCTTTTAGAATGATTAACTGTTAATGCACCTATAAAAACATTTGACGTCTAAATATTATTTGGGTGTTAATAGACAAAAAATATTCAAAAAAAATATTATTTTTTCATTTTTTAATGTTATAAGAGATAAGAGTTAGAAATCAGCATATCATGTGACAACTTTCTCATTGTGGCCTCTGAGGCACAAATCTATGATGCACTCATTGCAGCCATTCAATCTCTGTTCTTTATGCATGATAAAGAGTTGACATAGTGTGATAAGTCAACTGTCAAAGTTGCCGACGCTCTGCTGATAATTGCACTGGCTTCCTTGTTTTTTCCAGGCAAGCAATAAACTGACGCTATATGCAAGTTTCTTGTACTTGTTTTCGATATACTAATTTCGTACCTGCTGAAGCAGATGCTCCAGGAGAGATCATAACCTTTTCTGAAGCTGTCTGTAACTGTCGAAAGAAATGAAGTTCTGTCTGTCCTTGTTTTTTGAAATTATTTTATAATTTTCTGAAGGCACAAGAAGAGGTAGAGGGCGACCTAAGAAGTATTGGAGAGAGGTGATCGGGCAGGATATGGCGAGGCTTCAGGTTTCCGAGGACATGATATCTGATAGGAAGTTGTGGAGATCGAGTATTACGGTTGTAGGTTAGGAGGTAGTTGAGTCTTGCATTACTTTGTGTCTTTGTGAGCCTAGTCCGGTAGGGTTTTGTCTAAGATAGCTAGGGTAATGTCGTTTCTTACTATTTTCTATTTTCGATGCAGGTTCCACTTACTAGCCATCATTTTGCTTTGCATTTTTCTTTTGCATTTTATGTTCCTATTTTTCCTATGATCTCCGTGATGAATCTAATATTCTCTCCTTTTGTCTTTTTATTATCTTGAGCCGAGGGTCTTTCGGAAATAGCCTCTCTACCCCTTCGGGGTAGGGGTAAGGTCTGCGTACACAATACCCTCCCCAGACCCCACTTGTAGGATTCTACTGGGTTGTTGTTGTTGTTTCTGGGTTTTCTTTGAAGTGGAGTTCCTCTCACTAAACACTTATAGCTCCAAATTGTCCAGATCATAACCTTTTCTGAAGCTGTCTGTAACTCTCTATGCACGTTTTCTTTTTGCACAAAATCTTTTCCTTGAAAATCTTCTCAAGAAACTTTCTCCAAGAATTGTCTGGACGCCTAATAGCTCCAAATTTTTAGCAACATCATGGGGGTCATCTTATATTATATTAGCTATGGCATATCTTTGTCACCATTTGAAAAGACTATTTTATGCCCTATTAAGTCTCTGACTAGCAATTTGCCCCTCCTAAGCTTTTCAGGTTTGATAGTTGATGAAGAACTAATGATGCTTGTGGCATTTCACTGTTTGCTTCAATTTGTATGCAAATAAAAAGATTTTGCAGTATGAAATGTTATTTTCTTGAATGTAATTTCTTCCCCTTACAGTGGTACTCCTCTGCCGCATATGCACTGCGTTCTATATGCTTTCATGGTGAAGTGAGAAAAGAATTTTGCCTTTTGGACTTGCTGCTGTTTGTCTGATTATCTTGGCTCCCTTTGCAGATTCTTAGTGATGAGAAGAAATGTTGGATATATGACCAGGGTGATGGCATTGACGACACTGGTTCAGGAATGTGAGGAGGATTAAATCCATTTGGTGGAGGGGCCAGCTGTTTATATTCCCACTTTGAAGGAGGGGAGTTTCCTTGTAAAGGATTTGGTGAGTGTTCAGGTGAATTCCATTTTTTACCTTGATGGAATTTGTCTTCATACTTAGATACCTCGGCTTGCTTGGGACTGAGGCATTGGTTATTATAATTGTTATTGCTGCTTAACCAATAAACTCACATGGCTGCTGTTTATATCTACTATATGCGATGTGACCAACTATAAGGTGAGTGCAATACAGTATGCTCCTACAGTTTTCCCCTTGAAAAGGTTTTGTTTTGACAGTATCTTTTCTGTTAAAGAAATACCAAGTAGCAGTTGACTGAATGTAAGAAAAAACCCCTGTACAGGACGTATAACAGGTTCATTTGTAACTATCTAGGCTGGTACATTCCGTAGCAGATTAACAGGTTTTATATTATTGAATTGAGCTTCAAAAGTCCAGTGGCCAAAAAATGCATATCAAGTACTCCATTTTGTTATCCATTCTGTGGTACTTGTTTACATGATTTCATATAATTTCTACTGCCCCAAGAACAGAACAAAGTGAAGTTCTTCAATCCAAGAGACTAGAAGGTGAAGCAACACTTTTGATGTCTAGCAGGGGTGGAGCTAGAACATGGGGTACGGGTTTAGACGAGTTCAATAACTTTTACTTCAACCTTGTATTTGTATTAGGAAATTTATTAAATATGTATATAATTAATTATGCAATCAAAAACTAAGATGAGCTATGTTTCAGTGACAAGTATAGAATTCATAAACTTCAAGTCCTGGCTCTACCTCTTAGAAAAATGTGGCATCGATGCTTTACAGATTCAGATTGATGGAAACTCAGTGTCATTATCAAATCCTCCTGAAAATTTTAGCTCATCTACTAAAAATGATTGTACTATCCTGTCATGCATTGACATTGCAAAAAGATAGCAGATAACACAACAAATGTTTTGGTAGATTATCATTTGTTATCTTACATTACATTATAATCAGCTGTACCAAGATATTCTAGATAGTGACCAGTGCAGTTGCAACTAAATTAGCCTCCTCCTCTCCCACCATTTCTATGAGTAATGATTTATGGTTCTCCAGTAACTACATGCAACTTGTAATATAACATTGAGGAGTGTGGTGGGATAAAAGGGATCCTTTCACCTTAGATCTCAGTCTTGAGCCCTAGGAATGAAAGAAACTCTTGGTAGGGAGATCTTCTTTCTTTAGTGGCCCCTAAGCAACACCAATTTGGATTAGTTGAGTCAGTAAGTTTCAAATACCGGACGCATAAAGAAAAAAAGGAAAGAAATAATTTTCACTAGCTATCTTACCCACGAAGGGGAGCCTTGAAATTGCTGCCATGTGACGAGAAGGTCACGGGTTCGAGCTGTAGAAACAACCTCTTGCAGAAATGCATGGTAAGGTTGCGTACAATAGACCCTTTTGGTCCGGCCATTCCCCTGACTCCGCGTGTAACGGAAGCTTAGTGCACCGGGCTGTCCTTTTTAGCTATTTTACCCACCTAAAATCACAAGGTGATAAACTGAATGGAACCTACAAAGGAATTTACTTCACTTCTCCAGCTGTTTTTTTCACTTCATCAGCAAGCTAGCAGCTGCTTTATAACAGTACAGAAACATATTATTCTCAGCTCACCATAAATTGCACCTTTTTACCTAACATTTTCTTTCATCCCAATACCCCACAAACTTCTTCCCTAAACCTCTGATCACATCTTTTTTGAATTCTTAATTAATTTTAGAGCAAGAAATTCACCCCTCATTATAAAAGTGGAGCACATTCTCCTTCTCCCTCCATCTCACAACTTCAAATTAAGCTAAATCAAGAAAGAAAAATGAAACAAATATTTGTCTCACCCCTTCTTTTCTTGTTCTTCTTCTTGCTCCAGTGCACTTGTATTTTCACTCAAGCTCCTGCTATGTCACCAGTGCCGCCAGTACAATCTTCTGCTCCGGCTTCACTGCCTCCAGCTCAATCTACTCCTCCGGCACCAATATTTCCCCCTGCTGTAGTCTCTGCTCCGGCTCCAGGACCGCCTGGTCCACAAAATGTGGTAAAAATCCTCGGAAAAGCTGGTCCATATTCGACGTTCATCAAGTTATTACAAATCACTCAAGAAATTGTCGAAATCACCTCGTTGCTAAACAACTCCAACAGCATAACCATGTTTGTTCCATCGGATGGCGCTTTTTTGAGCCTCAAAATAGGTACCCTCAACTCTTTCAGTGATCAGCAGAAAGCTGAATTGGTTAAATTCCATATTCTCCCTTCATATTTCTCCCTACCACAGTTCCAAACTGCTAGCAACCCTTTACATACACAAGCTGGTGGAACCACTAATCGCGAATTCCCAATCAATGTAACCACAAATGGAACAGCAGTGAACATAACAACTGGAATTGTGAATGCGAGTGTGTCAAGTACAATTTATACTGATAATCAGTTAGCTATTTATCAAGTTGACAAAGTGCTTCTTCCTTTGCAATTCTTTGTACCACCAGCACCAGCACCTGCTCCAGCACCATCAAAGCCGAAAAAGAAGGATCCTTCTTCGGATTCTGCATCTGTTAATGTTGTTTCGTCTGGTGCCACTTCTCTTCTTCCCCACATGATGTTTCGGGTCATGGTCTATCCTGGCTGCTTTTTCTTCTTCTTCTTCTTCTTCTTCTTCTCTATTTGGTTTGTGTGTATAAGCTAATAAGTCGCGCGCAATGCCTGTATGCTTGTGATGATATGTTATGTACATTTAAGTGTAACCTAATAAGATGTTAATTTTCGTGTGTACTCAAGCATGCTTTTGGATATTATGTTATGTTTTAAAAGAATTTAAACATTCACAGAGAACCTTGTTAACAGGTAATTTACATTCCTGTTTCCTTTAAAAGGAAGAAAGAAAATTAAGGAACTGCAAAATCAAAGGTAAACAGCTTAGCTTAGTGCACAACGTGTTTGCTACTACACTAGCTGGCCAGTGTATTGGCCTTGTTGTAATTAGTCCGAAAATGATATATCTCGCGACACCCCAGCGTGGCTCCATATTAGTACAGAACTTTGCATAGGGGTGACAAAATGATTAAAAGAAAATAGTTAACTACCCATATTATCCACTAAAAAATTAATGAACTTTTTAAAAACGGGTCAAATATGGATAAGAACCATATTATCCATTTTCTAAATGGATAATGAATGGGTAACCAATGGATAACCAATGAGTTTAACTTTTACATTTGTAAAGCTTGAAATTAGGGGTTCCTCAAGTTAGGAAGACTAAGAATTCTCCCAAAAATGATCATATGCAAGAAGTCATGGATAATATGGTAAAAATTGCATGGGGCGCCCTATTTGGTCGTCCCCATTTAACCTATACCCATTTTTTTAAAACGTTTTAACCTGTACCCAGTTTTTAAACAACTTCAGCCCCTTTCTAACAACTGAAAGGCACTATTATTAATTCTCTAATACTATCACCATTCCATATGTTTGACCAATTAGGCTCAAACTTCCTAGCCTTACTTCAAATTTATCGTCGAAGGATACTGCTAGCTTGAACATCTCTTCAACCAGAAAATACAGAATATAATTAGCTTGGTATAGAACTTTACAATAACTTGAACTTAATAATGGTTCTGTTACAGACAAAAATCGTGTATATCATCATTTGAGGTGAAAATCAAGAATGCGAAAAAGTGAAAGAAACAAATACTTATGAACAAGGGGAGGATTACACTCATGGTGTAAATAGGCTAAAACTTCAGCTCTAGAGCTGAAGGTCGCCAGTTACAAACAAAAACTTCAGCTCTAGAGCTGAAATTCGACAATTACAAAACAAAAACTTCAGCTCTAGAGCTGAAGTCGCCAGTTACAAAAACAAAAACAAAAACTTCACTAATTACAAATAAAAACTTCAGCAAAAAATAGAGAACAAAACTTCAGCTACTATGCTTAAGTTCAGCAATTACAAACACTTGGTTCAACACACTTGCTACTTCAGTCCCGTCTACTAGAATGCTGAAGTTTTGCGTGATTGCCTTTGCTACTTCAGTCCCATATGCTGAAGTTACGCGAAAAAGTGGGTACGTTTGCAATTTTTTTTTGTAAAGCCGGCACAAAGTTAAAACGTGACCCAAAAAACGGGTATAGATGCAAATGTCCCATTTTTTATCCGTATCAAATATGGGTCGGGTCAAATAATTTATCTGTTTTTTCATTACCCACTTTCAACCCGAACCATATCCGTCCCGACCCGCCCGTTTGCCACTCCTAACTTTGCATGTGTAAAAACATTCCATTTTCCACCGCTGAGAGTATAACTTACGGATGTGGTTGGCTATTGGCAATACACAGTAGATATTGAATTAAAATTCAGTCATGAAATGTGAAAAGAATAAAAAATGTGTTAATCCATTAAATGCTATTCCCAACTTTCTCTATATGTGTAAAAACTGCTAAATGACCTGCCAGTGGCCAAAAGAATTAACTCATAGGGAAAGCTTATGCATATTAATTTCCTGTTTAACAGTAATATTGTAAAATTCTCTGTTGGATTTTCTCATCCTAAAGTTGAGGTAGTAATTTTCCAAAATACTTACAGTAGGAGGAGAAAAACCCTTAACCGTTAAAACTATTCAATGCTGTTCGTTCTTCTTACTTCTATTGAACTTATCTAGAAGATTAACCTGAAAATTTCCCTAAACATTGACAAACACAAGCACATATCTTTCAAAACAATACGCTAAATAATCTAGTGACCGTTAAAACCATGAATTATAATCCCTCCATCATATCCATGCATAACTTTGTCCATGAGCCAAATGACGCACAAGAGCGTTGATAAATATTCTATTTTTTTTTCTGGGGGNGTTACTACAAGCAACCTGTACATTTTGCGAAAGTAAATTGTTGACTACTTGCTTAAAAAATAATATTCCCCTCTATGTGTGATGTTAGGCTAGAAATCTGTGTTTTAGCCATAGTATTACATTCCAATTGCTGCATTTTTACGTGTGTTTGAGCTCAAATGATGGTGAATTACACTTAGTACGTATTTTATGCCTTGCAGGAAGTGATCCTGAGCTCAAAAGTTAATTTGGAGCTAAATCGATCAATCTGGAGCTTTGAAGTCTGAGTAAAAGCCCAATACATTAAGCTGGGATCGTGTTTAGAGGTCGTGTACCAAGTCTGGATGTTAAAAGAGGACAAATTAGTTCACTCTGAGGAAATTACACTGCCGCACCGCATAGAGCGGCGCAAGGCGCAGCGCAGCAGTGTAAAAGTCTGCCTGACAAGAAAGTGCAAAGCTGCCGTTAAATCCCATTAGCGCGCCGCAGGGTGCGGCGCAACTGTACAATATTTACAGAGCCATGTCCTATTTCGCGCAGGAAAGGGTGTTTCGTCTGGGCCCGACCCTACTTGGTATAAATACATATAAAAATACTATTTTGAGGACTTTTGACACATCTTAGACCTAGGGAGACTATTTTGGAAGGGAGAAAATGTTTGGAGCAATTTTCGGAGGAGATTGGCATCGAATTCTTCATTCCTTCATCTTTACTTTGTAATTTAATTATGCAAATTATTTGGGAAATTATTACTATGAGTTCAGTAGCTAAATTCCTAATCTAGGATTTTGATGGAACCTGTTGAAGGATGATTTTCTCGTTACGTTAATATAGATGTGTCATAGTATTCTCTCTATTTGTTCAACTATATGTTCATTGCTGTTGATTGACGGGCCCTCAATTAGCTGTTCCTATTTAGTGTGCATTACTCGGGAGAGAGTGTATATTTAGGTAGTTGTTGAACATCATCACTCCTAACGTATATGATGGATCAATACGAAGGGTTTAAAGGTGGGATTAGGGAAACGAAACCTTGGGTGCGATCTAAGTGAGCTGTACTTAAAGCTAGCTAGCATAATCCGGGAAAATATGTCTAGTATATTGTTGTAATTACTCGGGAGAGAGTTATGACATTCAGAGTGCTCATGATCGATAGAGAAGACTTAGGCAAAATTATAGAAAATGTAACGGAAAGGATTCCGTCAATAGGGGAAATCATAATTTTAGATCCTTCCAATTCTTGTTTACAAACCATTCATAGTTAATTCTTAATTACTGCATTTTCATTACGTAATATTTAGTTAGTAAACATCCAATCTATTATTTAAATATCTCCGAAGATTGAATATGAGAATATCTGTGAGTCCAATAGCTGTGATTGATAGGTTAATTCCCTGTGGGATTCGACTCAGGACTTGTTAACCGGAATATATTTGCAGCGACCGCTTTGTCCTTTTTATAAGGCATAGTTGGGCGTGATCAAATTTTGGCACCGTTGCCGGGAAATTAACTGTGTTATTAATTGTAAAAAGAAGTGCAAAAATTCTTACTGTAGTCAATTTTCTTCAATTTAAACTGATCATTGAAATTCTAACATTTGTAGTCGTGGTTGTTACAGGTGCATGCCTAGAAACTCCTCAAGAACTGGTGAATTGTTTGAAGCATTATCAGATCTTGAAAAGGTGTTCAAGGCATTGAACCATGCAAACAGGAAAGGAAAACAACAACAGAACTCAACCGAAAAAATTGAACCAGACATGAAAGACGATAATCTAAACAACAGAGACAACGTGAATAACCCAAACAATAGAAACAACGTGAATGACGCAAACGATCAGGGTGTGGTACCTCTTGTTCCAGTAGCAGCACTATATGATTGGGCACAACCCACCGCTGACAACTTAGCAACTGCCATTGTAGTCCCTCAGATACAAGCAGATTCATTCTAGATCACAAATAACATGTTATATTTGTTGCAGAACAAGGGACTGTTCTCTAGGTCATACGTTGAAGATCCTCAGCAGCATCTAAAGAATTTCCTGTCAATCTACGCCACGCAGAGGCAACACAATGTGACACCAGAAGCAATACGTTTGTTGTTTTTCCATTCTCGGTGACATGAGCAGCTCAGACTTGGCTTAATTCACTCCCCGTAAACTCCATCACTACTTGGGAGGAATTAGTCAAGCAATATTTGAACAAATTTCATCCACCCAACAAGACTGCTCAACAAATTGATGAGATATTGAGCTTCAGACAGAAACCAACTTAGACACTACGAGAAACATGGGAGAGATTCAAGGGTCTGCTGATTACTGTCGCACCTCCTTTTTCCGCCCCGCTAGGGTACAAGGGAGTTTTTCCAATTAAAGGACGATCGAAATGTGATTTATTTATTTATTTCAGAGTCGCCACTTGGGAGATTTAGAGTGTCCCAAGTCACCAATTTTAATCCCGAATCGAGGAAAAGAATGACTCTGTTTAACAGTCTGCGCACCAGAAATCCGGATAAGGAATTCTGTTAACCCGGG